GTGCAGGAGAGGACGCGCCAGCCTTTCATTTTTATAGACATAGAATATCTTCTCTTCTCCAAACTGACTAAAGTGTTACGTTGCTCTTTCCTGCTCTGTTTAATTTTCTTCCCTTCCTTCTTACGAGTGGTGCGGGTGCTAAATGTACCTGAAGGCAAGGATTGGTAGAAGGACCAGATGGTGGGGGCCACAGAGATAACCAGGACAGTTGTGTGTGTATGTGCAGCAGCGCTTTGGCTGGGTCTCCTGGGCCTCTCACACCAACACATGGACGCACGTGGTTCAGTAGGTTGACTGTTGAGGCCCAGTCATGTTGGATAAAGAGAGGCGTCTGCCAGCTCTGGCACAAAAATCCAGCTGCAGCTCTAAGTCTTATCTCTTTCCTGGAGTCATGGTAGACTTCAGCAGGAATTTCCTTGAGCCAAGACCGAGAAGCAAGGCAAATTGACCTAGCTATTAGATTGAAGGGCTTCATTTAACTCCTGCTCAGGCTTGTGTGTGGGTAAAGCTGAGATAATGACCATTGATCCCCCTCTCTGGAAAAAACCGAGCCTTCTGCTAACTGCACCGTAGTAGTAGTCTGCCTAGACTTTTATTTCGGGTGGTGGGTAGGTGCTAAGACAGGCTCTTGCAGTAACCCAGGCTGGATTGAATCTCACCATGCTGCTCAGGGATTCCTGACAATCCTCCTGCCTCATCCTTTGAAGTGTCGGGGTTACAGGCATTAGCCATCACAGCTGGCTCACATTTGACTTCTTTAGATGTTAATGAAATACTTGCTGTCTTAATGCTGTGCAGCCTGTCCTGTAGACATCTATTGTATGCTGTTGCGCTGGTTGGTGGAGGCCACAGTCTAGCAGGAAGTACAGAAGGATAAAGACATCCGAAAGGGAGTGATGCCGTCCTAGAGATGTGTTCATAAAGATGGAGGGAATGGATCCAGGAGCCCTGGAGCCCGCCTAGAGGGGTGAGAGGCCTTCACAAAGAGGCAGTGTCTACCGTGACTCATAGAAGAGTGGAGTTTGAGACAGAGGGACACTGAGAACGTGTGCAGTGTGAGCATTGCACTCACCCCTGGCCTTGGTGTGTCAGGTGTAGGTAGTCCGTTCCTCCATGTCTATAGCCTCCCGACTCCGGTGCTGCTCAGCCTTAGCCCTGCCCAACAACCATCCACAGTACCCTGCACCCTCACAGTCCCAGTCCTCAGCTAAAGGAGACCAAACCTTTGCGGGGTAGAGAATACTTCCTTATCCTTTTAATCCTCTGGCCTGTTCTTCCCCCAGCTCTTCACTCCCTCATGACTCTGTCCTTCCTTGGATCCCAGAGGCCATTCCCTCTGTTCCTTTCCTCCCCCACTCCCTCCTCATGTATGGACCCCTCGTCAAGAGAAGGCCCACTGTGCGCATCTGCCGTGGCCCCTTTCTCTTCTCTCATCACCTGGACTGGACTTCTTAACCACTGTTCTTTATTGCCGCCGACCCCCTCTCCACTGACTTCTGCTGTTAGAGCCTCTAAAACAAGAAACGGTGACCAAGAGTCCCGTTGCTTCCTAGACCCCGCCCCTGCCTCCAGCTAGTGTCTTCTCCCACTTGTTCTTCGTGACACTTCTTAAGGGTCACCTTCTACCCACCTGTATCGCTGCTTTGGAGCTGGTAAGATGGAAGCCAGTGTCCTGTTCAGGTCACCGGCTTCAACTCCGTCTTGCCCCTAAATCCGGGTGGCTGATGAGCACCTAGTCATCAGTAGGGCCTGCTCAGGAGGGATGAGAACTGGAGCTCCCTGGAAACAGCCCGACTTAAAGTACACTTGCTCAGGTCTGCCGTCCTCTCTGCTGTCGTGATTGTCCTGCTGCAGCCACCTGTGGAATTTTCTGCCTATACTGAAGCCCTCATAGCCACGGCTTCTTTGTCCCTTTGTTACCTGCTCACTCTCCGTGTGTCTACAACAAGAACTATTTTTGTTACTTTGAACTGGGAGACACAGAAGTGAGGGGAGTGCCGGGGGGTGGGGGGAGGGGGAGTGTTGTTACACACTATGCTAAACTCTGCAGGCATTCATCAGAATTCTCAGTCAACCAGGCAATGCTACTGAACCCATTTTTCAGAGAAGGGGCCTGGAGTGGATGGTCCTAGATTCAGCTAGTAAGAAGCCTGGGCAGGTCATTAGCATTTGCCTCACTGGCCTCGGGATCTGTGCCCTGACCCTCATCGTCTCTCACTCGGGGGACCTCCTTCCTGTAGCCCTTGTGCTTTCCAGGACGTTGCTAACCTTGAGCTATTTCACAGCGAGTCCTAGCTGATGTGCGGACTCCCAGAAGCAATCCACCCCCTCCAGGGCTTAGCACGTGCGCTGAGTTCTAAGTCCAGCCCTTCTCTTTGGCCTGTAGGTGGGTTGAGGTCAGCGAGCAGTTGAAGAACTAGCAGAGGAGTCATGTTCTCAGAGATATCTTCTGAATTTTGAATGCTGACACTTCAGCAAGAAATCCTAGTTAAGACTGAGCCAGAAGAGCAGCTTAGGGCTTTAAACCAGACACAAAGCTCAAGTAGATTGTATTTACTGTCATCAATACAATTAGCTGTTTCTTCCTGACAGGAGGTAAAAGATGAACTAGTGGTCTTAGATCAGTTAGCTGTCTTGTCTCGGAACGCCCACTCTGAGTTTGGGACCACAAACAATACCCTTTTACTGACTGTAAAGTTAAACCAGCAATATTAAAATACGGCTAATTATTTCTTCCTGGTTGGCTGAGAGACCCAGGGTCATCTCAATAGAAGCCTCATGTTCCCCCGTCACCCCATTTGCCCATTTTGCCTGCTGTTGCAAGGCATGCTCTCCTTTCCTTGAACCCTTTGAAAGTTCCTTTAATCTTCCTTCTTGTCTTTACTTGGTTCTTTGTCTGGGAAGCTTCTGGGGGAAGCATCCTTAACCTTAGCACTTCACCAAGGGTGAGGTCATTTTCTAGCTCTCTGTTAGCAAGCGATACCATTATTTAGTATCTAAGAGATGCCCAGTTGTATTTCCCCATGGACGTATAAAAACACCACTAAAGGAGATGGGTTTGACTTCGTGTGTACTAGATAGGCCTATTTGAACCTTGCCCATGCTACACAAGCACTCTAACCACTGAGCTACATCCCAACCCGAGCTACTAAAGATTAAAGTCACCCCAAAAATGTGATGGCATTCTTTCTGCAAAACATTTATGGTTTATAAGTGAAGTGGACAGGCATGTCTTCCTAATAACATTGTTAGGATATGATATCTAACATTATAGAATAACCTCCTGGAAACTTATGTCATGCCTTGTGGGAAACTAGCTAGCTCCACTTTCTCATAATGTTACTTGTAAATGCCCAAAGTAACTTTCCATGCTATAGATATGTCTTGGGGAAAACTTTATGTAGGTCCAGAGTGTGACCTGCTCATCTCAAATGCTACTTTTTGAATGGGGCTCAGAAATGTATGTTTTCAATAAAATTGCAGTAGTAGCCTGTCATTTTTAAAAAATGTAAATATTAATTGACAGAATATTGTTTAAAAGGAAAAAGCACTTTAATTTCTGACTTGAAAACTAGACACAGGAGCTGAGTATTGGAACACTGGACATACAGGAATCTTTATAAATAATAGCTTTCAAGGAGAGGGTCCAAAGTCTAACCACTGGGAATCACAGCCCTTCACTGTCTCATGGGCCACGTGGGCATCTTTGACTAATATAGTTGTTGCTTGCAGTGAATGGGTACTTCCCGGAAGCCTGGGCTTCTAGAAGCTCTGAGCAGCTCTTCCTAAAATGGCCAGCCCAGTGCATTTTGATGATACGGAGATGCCTCTGAGCTCCCCACCACGGGAAATTCTTGTCCTTTCCCTCTGTGGGGATCCTTGCTTGCCCAGGAGAGGGGGAGAGAGTGGCCAGAATACAATTTCAAGACTGGAAGAAGCTCTCTGCTGCTGCTGTGGAGACCATAGGTCTCTCTGGAGAGCCAAGAATCATATAAGCAGGAAGCCATTGCTCGCAGACAGAAGCCTGAACCTTAGGAATCCTTGCCGGGGAATTTCTTTCACTTCTAGCCCCAGAAGCAGCCTTTCTTTCTTCCTAGCAGGAGACATAGAAATAAATCTCTGATGGTACAGAGAGGGTTTGAGATAAATCTGCCCGTCAGGTTGTTTGCTAGGTATCTTTTGCAAGGGCACGTGATGACTGCAAACAGCTGAGCCTGTGTTTTAATTCAGGGGAATACATTCAGACTCCTTGGAGGCCCTGACATGTCTGTAGCCCAGGGCTGCATCTCTAGTAATGGTGTTTTGTGTGTGTCCGTGTGTGCATACACTTGTGTACTAGTTTGTGGTCTTGAGAAATGAAGCTATTTATTTGAATTTTTTTTTTCAAATATTGACACTAAGCCCAGATCAAATATGTTCACCAAGACGTTAGCAAATTCTGGTGGAGGTTTGGTTTTCCGGGCATTCAGCATATAATCTTAGAACGTGACTGGGGGGAATTATCTTGAACATGTGGGACATCATTGAACAATGACCTTTTGGGCTAATTAAGAATGCTGAAGCAGAAGGAATGTCGGAGCAGTTTTGTTGATGATGATGCTGTTGGCAAAAGGAAGCAGAGATTTAAAACTAAAGACATGATGTGATGTTGCTGTTTGGAAAGGGGATGATTTTCAAAGTTGTGAAGATTCAAGACTGCCAGCTGGAAGAAAGTGCTCAGACATGAAAGTGTAAAAAGGTTTTTACACTAAAATGTAGATCCTAGGACTTCTTAACTTCTGTGTAAATTAGCTTTTGGGTTTCCACAATAAAACCTTTCTTTCCTCCTGTTAACGTATGAATAAATTATGACATGGAATGGGTCGTTTCTATAAGAAGGACTCATCTGACAGAGTGTTTGTTCTTACGACCCTCTGTTTAGAAGTGGTCACTCACACCCTGTGCTACGTTGTTTGATCACAACCTGAGCCTTACATCCAGTTTCCTTTTTGTCCCCACAGCTGACTCAGGTGTTGTCACCTTGGCAGTGTTTATGGCCAGCAGTGGAACCACAGACGTTGCAAATCGGAACAGCCCAGCCACACCACCCAACACCCTTAATCTCCGCTCCTCCCACAATGAACTGTTGAACGCTGAGATCAAACACTCAGATGCCAAGAACAGCACACCCCCCAAATGCAGGAAGAAATATGCACTGACTAACATCCAGGCGGCCATGGGTCTCTCAGATCCAGCCATACAGCCTCTGCTGGGAAACGGCTCTTCCAACATCAAGCTGGTGAAAAATGGGGAGAACCAACTCCGCAAGGCTGCAGAACAGGGGCAGCAGGACCCCAACAAAAACATCAGCCCCACGGGGGTCATCAACCTAACTTCCGAGAAGCTGGAGGTAAAAGATCTCCACCCACCGGAGTCCTCAGGCTGTGAGATTTTGCCCTCCCAGCCCAGGAGAACTAAGAGCTTCCTCAATTACTATGCAGATCTAGAAACCTCGGCTCGAGAGCTGGGGCAGAATCTGGGCCCCTGCCAAGGGGTCGGGGAGGAGAAAGCCCAGCCAGGCCCAGGCCAGGCCCCTGTAGTCATTGGAAATGGTGATTTGCTGCTGCAGAAACCAGACAGACCCCAGTCCAGCCCAGAGGATGGCCAAGTAGCCACAGTGTCATCCAGCCCAGAGACCAAGAAGGACCACCCTAAAACAGGAGCCAAAACTGACTGTGCGCTCCACCGGATCCAGAACCTGGCACCGAGTGATGAGGAATCCAGCTGGACAACACTGTCCCAAGACAGCGCCTCCCCCAGCTCCCCGGATGAAACAGGTACCCCGGACCGCTCCACCTGGTACTTTTCCATTGGTGTTAGTGGTGGAGTCAATCTCTCTGGGCTGAAAGTGGTGGTGCGTGTGGGTGAAATCAGGCAGTGTGTGGAAACTATCATTAGGCTTCTCAGCCACATTGTGGGTTTACTTCATTTTGCGGGTCATGTGTAAATTGTTCTGGTACACATCATCATTTAAAAAAAATAGTCGCTGTTTTAAATATGGCAAATTGTCATCTCTGGTGTAGATATTAGATTAGGTTGCTTGTGCTGGGAGAACTGTTTTTGGGTACTGCCTAGTTGGGTACTAACATCAGGATTTGTTAAATAGACGGACAGATAGATAAATGAAAAATAGTTGCCAAGGGCAGGCTGTAATTTAATTAAAAGAACCCACTATTCAAAATTCTCAGAACTTTGTTGTGCTCAAGCTTATGAAAACTTTAAAAGTTCAGGACATTAAAAATCAGGTCTTTAAAGACATTTTCCTCTTGACCTTTACTGGGGAATATTTTATTAGCCTGTTTAAGTAATATTTGGAAGTGAGGAAAAATAATACTCTGGAATGTATTTAGAAGTTGAAGATTTTAAGTAGTGTTGGCGATATTGGCCTGTCAGTGCCTCTGTCCACGTCTGTCGCTTTTGTCCGGAGATGCATTGGGACAGTAATGAAGAAGTCTGAACAGTCAGCCACCCTTCCATTTCATCTTCTCAGAGTTCCCGCTCGACCAGTCAGAAAACTGTAAGCTCTGCAGCACTCTGTGCTGAATGAATTCAGTGTAAATAACATCCACACATGTGGCTCTCAGAGTCAGGTAGACCAGATGGCACACCAGGGAGCCAGATGACATTTTCCAACAGGTAAGGCAGAGAAAGAACAAGGAGTGAAGATTTGAGAGAGAGAGAGAGAGAGAGAGAGAGAGAGAGAGAGAGAGAGAGAGAGAGAGAGAGAGAGAGCGCTGACTTGTTCACAAGAGGAAGGACGAAGGAGTGATTTGAAGTGTCCTGTAAACCCTGGTTCTTTCTGCTATTCTTTCTGCTCGCTTTCGTCAGCCTTCTGGGACTGGTTGTGACGGTCGGAAAGCTGAGTGAGTCACTTCATGTCTTCAGTGTCTGGCCCCCCGCACAGAGTCATAGTTATGTTTAGTAATATCATCATGCCCATGGCCCTCTGGGACTTGAGAGAATTCCTGTCCTGTACCTGATGGACACTTTCACCTGCTAGTGGTTGAATCTGTTCAAACCGCTGCTTGAGTGTGTGTGGTTGACGCAGCCTTGTTGCTGTTACATTTAAATGAACTAGAAGGGCGTGAGTCAGGAGTGAAGCCGCTGCCCCCACTCCAGCCCCTTTTCCTTAGTGGTGATCTTTTAAGGAGGGAATTTCCTATAGAAAACATTTTAGGCATGTGGCTGTAGTTATAACTTTTTAAAAATTTGTAAAATTTTTGGGATGTTATTTTTAGAGATCTTGCCTCTTAGAAGTAATAAACTAATCTATGTAATCACATAATCTACATGATGCAGATGACCCTCCATAGCCATTAGTTCCACAGCTGTGGATTCAGCCAACTGTGGATTGAAAATGTCTGGGATAAAATTACAGTTGTACTGAACATGCTTGGAGTTTTTTTGGTCATTGTTTCCTCAAATAGTTTAATAACTATTTGTGTAGCATGTACATTGCATTGTTACATGCAGCCACTAGTTTTGGTGTCCCTGGGGGTCCTGGAACCAATTCCCCTGTAGACACTAAGAGATAACTGTATTTAAGTAAGATATGAGGCAGGGCTTTGATGCAGGCACACTGTGATAAGGATTTAAAAAATCCCTACAGAAACATCCATTAACTACTAGCTATTAAAACTGGGTTATTGTTACAAGGGTTCAACATTCTGTTCTTTTTGTTTTTAAAAATTCCATGTAAGAAGTTAAAAAAAAAGAATTCAGATTAGACTGTTAATGCTTCACATTTTAAAGAATGTATTTTCTATGTGCACTGGGACAGTAGCTTGGTAGATCACTTGGTTATCATACACAAGGCTCTGGTCCCCAGCATAGCAGAGACGGAGAGAGGGAGATAGTTGGAAGATCTTGCCTGTTATTTTATTTTAGTGACTTTTTTTTTACTTTGCACGTGAGTATTTATTGCAATACTTTTTATTCCCAACAGTTAAGTTAAAGATCCTAAATTTGTTATTATAATTTTTTCATGTGGATTTGTGTCGGGGGAGCATGTGTCCATGTGGGTATATACACCTGCATGTTTATGTATGAAAGCCAGAGGTTAGTGTCCAGTGTCGCCTTCTGTCACCCTCCACTGTTTAAAAAAACCAAGTACTTATTGGTTTATTCTTTATTATTGTTTGTGTGTGTGCACAGGCGTATGTACTCAGGTCGCGTGCTGAGGAGCATGCATGGAGGTGAGAGGACACTTGCAGGAGTCAGTTCCCTCCTGCCGTGCAGGTCTGGGGATTGAACTCAGATCCTCAGGCTGGGCAGCAAGCATCTTGACTGGCGGAGCCGTCTTTCTGGCCTCCCACCGTTTTCACTTTTATTTTTTATTTGAAGCAGGGTCTCTTGCTGAACCTGGTCCTCCCACTGGCTGGATGGGCTGTCCGGTGAGCTCCAGGAATCTGCCTGCTCCTCACCCCAGTGCGCCATCATACCCAGCTTTTTAAGTGGGTTCTGGGGATCTGAACTTAGGTCTTCCTGCTTGCATAACAAATGCTTTCCCCACCAGGCATCTCCCCAACCCCCCACTGCAGTCTCTTTTATTTTATATGCTGTGTAACCATGGACAAGTTCAGTGGGTTTTCTCATTGATGAAGACTTAACAATTCTGACTCTTTGTGTATTGACTGTGAGTATCAGAAAGGAAGAAAAACAAACAAAAAAAAATGAAGAAAGTGCTATACTCAGGGCTGGAGAGCTGGCTGAGCAATTAGGAGCAATGACGAATCATCCAGAGGACCCAGGTTCGGTTCCCAGCACCCAGGTAGAAACTCACAACTGTCTGTCATACCGGTTGCAGGTGACCCGATGCCCTTTCCTAGCTGGCCTCCATGAGCACTGCATGCATGTGTGCACAGATAGAGATGCAGGCAAGCACCCATTACATTAAAAAATAAAGGTAAATAAGTATGTGTTTTTAACAACTATAAGCTAAACTTGAGCTTTCCTACAAAATGGGCACCTTGGGATCCCACACCCACTTGGCTTGACAGACTCCGGTGTCTCTGGTCTAGTATAATTTTGGGACCCTCTTAGAACTGCCCCAGAGCCGGTTTGTGGACTCCTCCTGAAATGAGAGAGCTCGCTCATTTCTGACTGAGAGTTTTTAGGAGTGAACCTGACACAGTGAGATGAGTGAGTGATTCTTCAGCATCCATGTCATTTCATATCCAGTGAAGCTGTATCGTTAGCATTTGAAGCTCTCACATCGCGGTTTAAATGAAGAATCGGGTGTCTCTTGTAAAGGCAAAAATTAGTGTTTATGTTTTATCCAGTCTGTTTACTGAAGATAATCGTGATCAATATGAATACTACCTGTTGAAAGAAAACGAAGCGATAGGAAGTATTCCTGAGACATTGATTGGCATGCAGCACCCTGGTGGTGTGTAGAAAGTGTGCCTTGGCATGCTGGTTTGCTTTGTGTTAAGTAAACAGGCACCACACGGGGGTGTGTTTTATGGCTAAGTCCCGATATAATTGTCAATGGATTTCGATTGTGCGTTGGTGAGCCCAGGAAAGGTAGAGCAGACTCGTGTGTGTACCTGAGGACATCCTTTCTGAGTCAGAGTGTGCTGTTGATCCGATAAAATGCCTTGCCCAACCCCAGGACTGACCACTCCGTATTTCCCTTACTTTCTTAAAGCTTTGCAGTGACATTTTTGTTCCATCAATCATGTGTACAATACGTTGCCACCTTCTCCTCTGTGTCGTTTGTCCTTTGAGAAAAGAAGAGGCCTTTTTCAAAAAGGAAAGCATCTGTGACATTACCAGGCTTTCAAGGGGAAAGTTAGTGTGCCTTGGCTTTGGTTCTGAAACAAAGGGTTGCATTGTTTTGTTTGTTTGTTTTTGTTTTTATTTTTTTATGTGCATTGGTGTTTTGCCATGGGTGTCAGGTCCCCTGGAACTGGAGTTACAGACAGTGGTGAGCTGCCATGTGGGTGCTGGGAATTGAACCCAGGTCCTCCGAAAGAGCAGTCAGTGCTCTTAACCACGGAGCCATCTCTCCAGCCCCAAGGGTTGCGTTGTTTTCAAAGTGAGGACTTTGGATCTAGTTAGAATTCCATCATAGGTCTGGTTCCCTTGGTGGCCCCGGGTAGACAGGATGACTCAGATAAATACACGCTGCTCAGACCCTGTGTAGTCTCTCTGTAAATTGCGTGGTGCTCTGTGTTAGGTACCTCACTTACGAACTGGTAACTTAAGATTTATATAGAGCCGGGCGGTGGTGGTGCACGCCTTTAATCCCAGCACTTGGGAGGCAGAGCCAGGCGGATCTCTGTGAGTTCGAGGCCAGCCTGGGCTACCAAGTGAGTCCCAGGAAAGGCGCAAAGCTACACAGAGAAACCCTGTCTCGAAAAACCAAAAAAAAAAAAAAAAAAAAAAGATTTATATGAGCCTCCCAGAGTTGGGAGCTGTAGATTATGGATGTCCGGTCCTCTTCCCCACCCTCCTGGGATCGAACTTTAGACAAGCTAAGCAGCTGTCTCTCCCCGTGAGCTATCACCACAGCCTGAGCTGGAACTTACATAAGAGCTGTTTAATTTAAACTCACCGCTGCCGTACACAAAGCCAGGATTCCACACTGAGCTGGCGGAGCCCAGAGAGTGTGGCTGGCTATGGTTGCAGTTACCCCATTAGCTTATAGAGCGCATGGGCTCCAGAGACGGCCGCAGTCCATCTTCCAGCCACATGCAAGGCTGATGTGTGGCGTGGTCACAGCCTTTGCATAGACTTTCCGTTAAAGACAGGAAGGGTCCTCCAGAAAGCGCTT